CTGATCCGATTTTAACATAAATACTTACAAAAGAATTTAAATGAGACTTGTCTAAAATTTAAGAGATAAAGTGAGAATTTTTAAAATTTAAAAAGTAAATTAAAAATAACTTTAAAATTCAAGAGTGGCAATCAAGGCCAAATTGTGAACGTTTGTTAGATACAAACAAAATCACTCATTTTTTCTAACACACGACCTACTGGGTAGAGAGAAAATAGAAATTTATTTCTCTCTTATCACCAATTCACAGCCTCACATACTTGTTTCCCTTTGGTACAACTGGTGAATCCAATCATATTCCGACAAATCTTTACAACAATCGATGATAGATGGAGTCAGTCCCCTTTGAAATCGCCTTCAACAATAGAGAAATCATCACCAATGACATAGCTCTTCTCATTCTTTTCCGATCCCAAGTACTTATGAATTAGAACTATTTTTAATTTACGTGTATTTTTTATGAGAAAAAATAATATAATAAATTATGAATCATGATTTAAATCGGGATACGAATCCTTCAACTAAATAACCCCTTATTCTTCTCATATGAAGAAGATGTTAAACTTTTTTCTTTTACGAACCGTTTCGTTGCATTTTTTTTTTCTTTTACTTCATATTTTTTTTTTCCTACTTTTGTCTTTTTTTCTTTTATCCTTTTGTTTTCTTTTTTCTTCTGACGACTTGTATACTAGTATGCACTAAAAAGTTAATTAGAGTCAACAACAGGGGATGTTACGTGAAATATCTCGATCAAATAGGCTTATCTGTAATTTCGGCAAAGCATAGAAAGTGTTAGCATAACTTTTCCTCTAATTCAGAGAAATTTTTGGTTATATAATTAGATTGGATCCAAAGGACAACAAAGAAACATTCAAAAACAATAAATAGAGGGACCCTAATCCCTATGACTACACGTTGCTTCAACCAACATTGATTACTGACACATGGTGACACGCGGGCCGGGGCTCCTCTAGTGCCATGGGCGACGCCCTCGCCTTTGTGCTCTCCTCTCCCACTTTAATTGCCATTCAATTCTTTGTTCTATTTTGTTCCCTTATTTTTCTTAATCATTGTTACTTTATATATATATATATATATATAGGATTCAATTATGAAGGGAAAATCTGATTATTGGTGGTGACTTCCACGCTATATGTGGATTGTGACTCCCACGATAAATTTACTATAATGATCAGAAAAAATTATGAAAAAAATGAAGAATTTACTCTTAAAAGTGCAATGAATCTGAACTTTTATCTTTATTCTTAATAAATATTATTTTATTAGTATAATTATTTAACTAAAAAAATTTATAAATTAAAACTAAAAGGTAAAAATCTTCACCAAAGTTACCCTTGAATTATTCAAAATAAGGTGGATTGAGAAAAAGGCATTATTTTGGATCTGCTGAGGTCAAGGCCCAAATATTTCATATGCTCTTTGGGCTTTTGCAAAGCTCACCTATTTCCCACTGAAGAAAGAAAAAGGAAGGGAAAAATAGACAAATGCTACTCAAACGATACCATCTTTACATTTATACCCTCTAGTACATAAATTTCGTATCTATGTCACTTAATTCACTTAAAAAAAAATCTAATCTATTGAAGTTCAATGACATAAATATAAAGTTATTTGATTTAGATGACACCGTGTAATTTTCTCTGTTTTTTTTTTTTTTTTTTTTTTTTTTTTTTTTTTCTTTCTTTTTTTTTCTGGTCTCTCACTTTTTCTACAGCCAATTATGGTAGTCACCAAAAATGGGTACAGGTCGTTAGAATTCTAGTGACACCTCTTTCTTTGTTGTTTAAAATTTCCCATTCATCTTCTTTGGAACTTAAAACTACAAATGTCACATGTAGGTACATAAATATATTAACTGGAAGGCAATTGTGCTAGATAAACATAACGGTTCTTTCCTAAAAAAACCTCATATATAACTAAAATAGAGAAAATTAGGAAATCTACCCTTTAAGTCACTTCTTTAGTTTAAGTTATGTGTCCTTGTTGATATATATGGAGAGAAAGTGAGAGAAGAAATCTTATAGTGTTAATAAAATTAACATAAATATTTATGTCATGTACTGAAGGCAATTCCACTAGCTTCTCATTAAAAAAAAAAAAAAAAAAAAAAGGGTCAAAATGAGCTATTAGTTGGTTGGTCCTTGCTGTTACTGTATGGTCTGTTTTATTGAATTTGGACTTTGTTCACAAATAAATGTGAGAATGGGCTCCATGGACATTCATGAGGCCTGACAACCACAATATATTACTCTTGCCATCAAATGGGACCCTTTTAGGGACCCAAAAAGATGTTGGGCTTTCAAAAATTGGGTTATCTAACTTCCGATCCCCCTTTAAAAAAAATAGCAGAATTTACTCATCATTCTTTATTAATATCTTTTTACTAATATAGTTATTTAATTAAAAATTATTATTATTTAAAATAAAAATTCTGATGTATACACTTTTTAAAGGACATTTGTCTCATTTCTCCTAAACTTTATTACAAAGTAGTTTTAGCAAAGAGAGACAGCGCAATAGAATCAACAGATATACTTTGAAGAGAAAAGAAGGTGCACCCGTTTATTCCATAAATTCAAATTACTATTCAAACTTGTTTATTACTGTATTTTGTCTCACAATATTCAAATTGCTTTTCAAATTTATGGGCCAAACGGGCCACATTTGGGTCTAGAGAAAATTATAGATTATACTTCTTTAAGTACTTATTAAAAGTGCTCATATTAAAAAAAAAATCTCTACCTTTTAATTAATTATAGTCTATAGAAATATATGAGCTAATATTAAGGGGTAGAAATAAAAGAAGACTCCATTTCAAAAGTTATTTTTAAAAACTGCCCACAATTTACTGATACAACACAATGATCAAATTAGATGCTGGAAACCGTTTCTTCCATTTTTTTTTTCTGAATTTTCTTATGGCCTATTTGTTTGATTCATTATACATTTACATGAATTTAAATTTGGATTTATTCATTTCAAGCACAAAAAAAAAAAAAAGTATTCATAAGCCAAACAGTTTGCTGCCTTTATGGGCCAACCAATTGAATCAATAATCTGAACTGATTGTAAACGTTACAATTGGCATTTAAAAGCCACATCACGTTAACAAAAACAAAAAGAAAAATGTTTGTGAAATTCAAGCATATCAAATTAGGTTGGGTAGGCTTTTTCATGCAAGTGGTGGAAGAGACATCATTCTCAATCATATAGGTTGCTTTTTTTCCTCCTGAAAAAAAAAAAAAAGAAAAAAGAAAAATGGATTCCTTTGAACTGTTATTTTGATGTCCCTATCAAGAAAATGATCATAATCAAGCATAACTTCCGAGTCAGCGTAATAAAATGAAAGTAACTGAGAGAAATGATTTGATGCAAATGTAATTCATTTTTTGGTTTTTGCACCCCCCCCTATTGATCCTATTCAATTTTGTTGGTAAATAAAGTTGCCATTTTTCTTTCATTTGGTTGCGTTTGGTCACAGATTGAGACGTGTCGCCAAAGTCCTTTGCCCACAATTTTAGCCACAATTACGTCCATTTATATTAAAACCAATAGCAACTTTTTAATAAATTCATCAACTTAATTATACTTCCTCTATGGTTCAACTAGAGTTGGGTAAGGTTCAACTTTGCCAATTTGGCACCCTTCCTCATTAAATCAATGCTCTAGCCAAAATATTTAATGGCACTTGAAAAAAAAAAAAAAAAAACAAAAAGAAGAGCTTAGTCTAATTTCAAAGCCATCTCTCAATGAGTTGTTTTGTCAGGTGGAATGTGAAGCTCACTTGATTGGCCCATTTAACCAAAACTAAAGTATAATAGTCTAATTTTCTCCTATTTTACATGCCAAGCATACGTTATAGTTGGACATTATTTTATCAATCTTTGCATACAGTGTGCATCCCAACACTTGAGGAATCATTTCTGAGAGTGATGATTTCTTAGAATATATGAAAACATAACGACTTTTTCTCAACTATTTGAAGGAATCACAAGTCAATCATATTTATGACTTCATAAACATCAAGTATTGCTGGTATTGCCCTATGCATTGACGGCAAAGACGGGCCAGAAGCAATTAAAAAAGTGATGACCTAGCTAGGAATTTCACTTTCCACACTAAGAACGGGGCAAAAGAGAAATGGGGTTGGGTTATTACAAGGTCTTCCAAAAACAAAAGTGTTGTGTATAAATTTGATAATGTGAAAAAGGTGAAGGCAATTAAAGAAAAGAAGTCATCCGAGTTCCATAACATCATAGTTAGTGCTCAAAGCAGACCTTTGGTCTATTGGGCTAATGTATTGAAAATTGTGGAAGACAAGAGCACGATGAAGATGGTTCAATTGGGTATAACATGTGACGAGATTTGAGTGGGAAATTAGGTACAGATTGTGCCAACTAGACTCGTACTTGCCCCATATGCGTACTCATGTCAAGTCTTAGAAAAACCATGTGCGTTACCTTGTACATCTCAGTATCGTGGAAATATCACCAAATAATGTTTTAAGTACCACCTTATTCGCATTAATAAACTCGACATTTTGTCGCGCCGTTGAAAAAATAAATAAATAAATAGATAAATAACTGTCAGTTGGCACGTGATAAAAGCCGAAAATTTTTCAACCATAGAGATTAGCCTTACTCAAAAGGAACGGGCTGCAAAAAAAAAAAAAACAAAAAAACAAAAAAAAAAAACAAAAGTTTGCAACGTGCGCAAAGGCCTGAATGAAACTGCAACGAACTGCTTTCTTAGATTATATTCTATTATAGCATGTATCTGCTATTTTTATTAGGCAACTTCTTTAAGCTTCTTTTTTTTTTTTTTTTTTGAAAAGCAGTAAAAGTGTGTACTGTATAGCCAAGCGAACCAGAATGTAAGACAAACTTCAAACTGTGTACTGTACTGATGAGTTCCGAGTAGTTCCAAATCAAACCAAAGCCATCCCAAGAATATTTATATTGGTTGGTCTTTTGGGGGAGTAAAAAGAAAAGGACGTTATTTTAAAAGGAACAAGGCATAACAAATTTCAAATTCCATTACTCATCTCAGAATTTTGTTTCTACTACAAATGAACTGCAAAAAGAATTCCATTGCAAAGGAAAGAAGAAAAAGAAAAGGGAGAAAAGAATGCAGAGAAAAAAAGACAACACAGACCCCAATACCTAAAAATATAATCTCAAGAGGACCTTACTAGCCATCAAACTAAACTCTAAAACTCTACCCTTAGACTTGCATCTCTCAACTATTTCTTCAGTTCTCTCATTACAACCCTCCTCTCCCTCTCTCTACTAGCTAAAAATATATGGTCATCTATTTGCTCCTATTTGTGCCCCACATTCCATCCCTGTACAAAAAACCAATGAACAAAGAAATGAAATAAAAAAGTAGGAAGATATAACATAACAGAGTAACTAACTAGGGAGGCAGTGAAGAACGTATGTCCCCATTCTTCACTAATTCTCCCTCATATCAATGTAATCCAGCGAAATGCTGCTATTAGTGTTCGGAATGAGCTCCGGCATGGCGGTCATAGTCGTGGTGGTCCCGGCAACGGCGACCATCTCGCCACCCTTGGTTCTCATCTCGAGAACCTTCTTGTGGGAATTGGAGTGCAGGGACGGAACGAATGTCGGGCTGGCTGCAGGCCGGTATTCTGGGAAGAGTCTGCCTGACTTATAGCGGACGCCGCAAGCGTTGCAAAGGGTTTTAGGCCCCATTGGACCCGCCCTCCACTGGGGTGTCTTGGTGATCTCGCAATGCATACATTTCCTAACAGCTTGCGACGATTGATTCTGGTTTGTCTCCACCGGGGCGAGCGGAAATGACAGTTTGATCTTCTTTTTCTTCTTCTGCTCAACGGGATCTTGCTTAGGAATCTTGATCACGGGACGGGACTCGGCAAAATTCTCCGAATCCGACGAGCTCTTGGGGGCAGCAACAAATGGCTGAGGCGCCTCGATCACCGAGGATGATGGGGAGATCAGCTGAATTGCCGGGCGGGGATTGAAGGTTGCGGGGCGAGGACGCTTGCTGCGAGCACGTCCACGCCGCCCGGGATTTACAGTTTCCGGGCTACATGGGGCGTTTTTCTCTCCGCCGGAGCAGGAGCTGCTACTTTCGAGGACAGAAACCGGGCTGGAAGTCTGGAACTGATGGTGGGATGACTCCTTGTTGAGAGAGGAGGAGTCTTGTTCTTTGTTGATAGCGAGGCTTCCTCCAGAGAAGGAATCCTCCACAAAGTTTGAGAGCCACTCCAATTGAACAATGTCTTCATACTGTAAAATAATACACGAAAAAGAAAACACATCAGATTATTACTCAAATTATACTTCAAACAATTTGGTAATTAATCTCCAAATAGTTTAAAGAGTCAAATTTAGGTGACTTGAATTGCAAAACTAGCTGTTAACTAACTTAAACTAAACAACAAAAATGAATAAATAAACAAAACAAAATAAAATTAAGGACAGCCAATCAGGAATGTAAATGAGAATAAAGGCGACGAGGGCATATAATTCATTTTCAAACCATCACATGACATCCATTAATGATGCAATTATTCAAACTAGCTTATCCACCGACATTGATAACACAAGTAAAATGACGAAAATATCCTTGACAAACGCAATAAAATGACCCAGATACCCTCCTCGCAAGATTTTGAAATTTGAACAAAATTGATTCATTCATTTCACCGCAACAAAATAACGAAAGCGAATACCACCAAAATTAGACACAAGGATATCGTCAACTACACAACGAAAACACGACAATCCCATGCCACCTTTATTTCTTTTACGCGGGATTGCCAGGCTGGCAAGGCTTGTAGCGAAGAAAACGACGCCGTAATTACTGCTTATGACGTCTAAAATCAAATTCTTTCATTTATTTGAAGTGAGAAAAATTCGAAGGAAATTGGGAATTTACCGGAACAGAGAGCTCGGCGGAGAGGTCGGAGGCGCTTTTGCCGGAAAAGACCGAGTCGGAGGAGGGGAGCGACTCGGACTGAGTCGTCGACCAAATGCTGGTGAACGGGTTCGCCTCGGGCTTGGGGCCGAGACCGGTGTCCACGTCATCGCCGGAGAAGTCTACGAGGAGGTCGTCGATGTGGTCGAAGAAGCTCCCGCAGTCTATCTCGTCCATGAAGTTCGGTCCGATCATTTTCCGATAGGATGAGAAATTTTCCTGCGAAAATGAAGAGAGAGGGAAAATGAGGGAATTTTTCTTCCTTTCTTCTAACGTTTTTTGAAAATAAGAAAATTGAAAGCCGTGTGGCGCATTTTAGCAAATTAGACGTTTAAAAATTCTTGAAATTCAAAAAGAGCAAGAATAGATTTTCTCATTTGACTGGGATTATCGGGGGAAAATAATTGTTGGCCGTAATTTGAGGTGAGAAAAATGGAATTTTCGGAAAAGTGAAACAAACGCGTGGTGTATTGTAACGCCAGCTGGTTCCAATTACCACAAATTGCTTCTTTTTGTCCTTTTTTTGGAAAAAGAAAACAGCAGCACAGTTTTTTGAAGATAAGTTTTCAAAGCAAACCTTGAGCAGAATTTGAACTCTGGACTGAAATTTTCCCCAGAAAGTGAAGCAAAATTTGAGAGAAAAACCGTTCGAGTCCTCCTGCGCAAAACCAAAACGACACCGCCAATAAGAACACAGGAAAAAAAATTCTGAAAATGTGTTCAATTTGTAGAATTAATTCAAGCATAAAAGAAACGTTTTCTTAAAAGCTGAAAATTCCGTTTCATTTCCAGTTTTCCGTTTGGTTGCCGGAAAATCAGGGGGTGAAATGACGATAAAATGAGGTCATTCACACACGTTTTCTTTTTAACTCCTTACTAGTTAATTAATCATCAGTTCAAATTCCAGATTTTCCGCTCTTGTTTTCCTTTAATTTTCTCGGCAGGGAAACAGAAAGAGTAAGACCTTGCCGACACTGGAAAATTAGTAATGGGAACAAAACCAGAAGTGGAGAAATGAGAATCCAACAAATGCAGAGCCAAAAAGCGCAAATTACCCGCCAAAATAGATGAACGAGAGCCAGTAAACCACAGCCGAGGAAGGAGATGAAGAATTCTTCTAACTAAACGAACTTAAAACCCCTAGGCTTCCACTGTAAGCAAGCAAGCAAAGCAAATATAGAGAGAGAAGAAGAAGAAGAAGAAGACTAAGAGTTAAGAGAGAGAGAAGGGTGGTGGTTTGAAAGAAGAAAGGAGGAGGGAGAAAGGGGCTAAAAAGGAAGAGAGAGTGAAGGTAATGGTAGGTGAGCCTCCTCCTTCATTGCTAGCTGGCTTTTACTACCACTCACACTTTCTCTCTCCTCCATTTCTCTCTATTTGTCGTGATGTTGAAGTTTTCTCTCTCTAGCTTCTCTCTCCTCTGATTACGCACGGGTCCACACAGGGCCCCCACCGCTCATCTCTCCCCCATACCCGCCAAAGCCCCCACTCACACACCAAAGACTCAACACACAACTCAAAGCCAACACTCCTTTCCTTCCTTTCGTTTCGTTTCCCCAGTTTTTCCTTTTCCTTTTTTTTTTTTTTTCTAAAATTCTCACTGATTTTTTCACCGCTCTCTGTTTTTCAAATCAATTCTTAAATTTGAGTACTCAACAATGATGAGAGAGAGGAGTAAAAGAAAAAAGAAAAAGAAAAACAGAGTGCGGCTATTACACACAGAATTTACACACAGTCACAGACACAGAAGGAGAGAAATGGATTATTTTTTATTTTTATTTTTTTAAAAGAAAATTTAACCTTTTCCAGTGTTTCATTTTTTAAGTTTAACTGCTGCTTTTTATGGCTTTTTCTTTTCTTACTTTTACCACTTTAGTTTACTTGTCCCCGTAACAGACAAAAATCGGACTTGGATATTAATATGCCTATTGCCTGCTAATTAATATTCATTATGGTGAAAAGACTAATGAAACAAATTATATGTTTTTTCTTTATCAATTCAGAAAATAATTAGTGAAAATGAAAAGATAATTTCGAAAAAAAAATCCACAGCTTTGAAAAACTAGAAATATTAGTCAAGAAACTCAGTGCATAAATACCAGTTAAATGGTTATTGGCCTACTATTTTCTTCTTCTTTTTTTTTTTCCTTGTAAATTTGCTAGTGTTTATAATTTTCTTAGACCTAACCCACTTAGACGTTATATTTGGAAGCTTCTTATGGCCGAAGTGAATCACAACGTTTTTACTCTTTATGTTTGTCATTTCATATCCACGAGATTCTTCAGAAAAATAAACAAATGAGTAAATTGAGGGTCTGTTTAGTTCGCTCATTCGAATTTTTAATTCGAATTAAAATGTGATTTTATGTAAGAGTTTTTTACTGTAACAAAAAGTTAGATGTGATTATTTCTAAGAGTTTTTTACTGTAACAAAACTCGAATTCTAAACTCGAATCGGTGAAATAAAATGGTCTAAAAAACTATTAACTATTGTACTTGTGTATTGTACGTGAAATTGGAGGATTCATCAATGAATCCCTTGAATTAAGCTTTTTATAGAAGGATGTTTATTGTTTCTGTTTTAATAAATTATGTCATGCTATTTATATTTGGATTTGGCCCATTTTTAAACGACTATTGTTATATATTTTTCCTTTTATTTCATGATTATTGGTCAAAATCTAAAGTGAGTCAAGTTTGGTAATAAGTTGCAATACATGGAAACTGAAATCTTAAATGGTTGTTAGACATGGGGAAAAAAATATAAGTGCATAAAAGACTGGTTATGTTATTCAATGTCGAAAAGAAAAAAAAAGAAAAAGTTAATGAACTATTTCAGTTGTGTCCATTTTTTTCATTACAATAAAAGGAGTTAGTATACTTAATTAAAGCAATAAACATGACTTTGTCCTACAATGAATTTGTGTTCAACAGTCAATTCATGCTCAATTCCACCAATGCAATTGTTTTTTTTTTTCTTTTTTAAGAGTGAAATTGAAAAATACCTACTTATGACCTCATAGTCGAGTGACATTGGGAGGTTTAAGTGAGATTGTGGGTTTAATCTCGTGTTATATTGAAAAAAAAAATACCTTTTTTTTTACTAATTTTATAATGATCTGATTCTTTAAAATTATATCTTATTATTAACGTTTTTTTCTTATTCTATTATTGAATTCTATTTTAAAAATAAATATATATTAGGAATTGTTTTTAGAAAAAAAAATCTATTGAGAGTTAGCTACAACATTTTTTCCCATACTTTAATTTTATCTATTATTGTAAAATCATTCGAGCACAAAAAGGAAAAGTGTTTTTAACAAACTATTTTTCTAATTAAAAGGTAAATAATAATAAAAAAAAAAGAAACTAGCATAATAATATGATCCTGCCAATATTCGGGCAAAAAAAAATCCTAACTTACCATTTGTTTACAATTTGTCTAGACTTGTGTTTGATTGACGCTTATAGACTGTACACGTGTCATTAGATTTTAATTTCTATACAATTAATCGTTTACCAAACCGAAAATGATTTGGATTTGAAATGTAGTAAGCAGTTAACATGAAGAGACAATGCAAATAATGAATGTTGTAACTGCACAGACAGAGCCAATTTTATCGCTGCGGCCGGAAAAGATACAATACCGTAAGCTATTGGTATCATACAGTACGCCACAGTTTAATACCGTCGACTGAAATTAAGGTGACTATTTGTTGATAATGAGCGGAACATAAAAGTAACGTTTGCGGACAATGACTTTCTGTTGACGTTTCTCTTCCCATACAAAGCTTTTTTTGTTGTTCGACCCACACGGCTGAATCTAGTTTGGGGCCCACACGAGCAATCTAACTGGGGTACTGCTTCTTCTTCTTCTGTAGCGGAATGCACCAGATTAAGCCCTTTCTTTTTTTTTTTTAATGGTGAATGGCATTTACAGTAATATCTTGTAAATTTTGGGGGTAGAGTTTCAAGTTACACTCTATGGTCTTGTTCAGTTTGTAGTTTCAAACTTTTAATTTAAGTTAATATATACTTTTATTATAACAAAAAAGTTAGTTTAACATTTCGTGAGAATTTTTAACTGTAATAAAATTAAAATTAAAAATTTAAATTGATAAAATGAACGAGACCTGTAGTGGATAATCCTTCTGGCTGTCCGCTCAAGGAGGCTTTCATTTTACGATAATACCCTTTTGCACCTGAGCGTCCTAGAATTAAAGCCAAATCTTTGAAAAGCCTTAGCAGAAAATTTTAAAATATATTAAATACAGGAATAAACAAAACAAAAGTTCATTGATTTTGAGAGAAAAATAAAATAAAAAGGAAAAGGTTAATAAAAGTGACGGCACAACCGAAGCATGTTTAGTTTGGGCCTTACAGAATGATGGGCTTCACTTTAGATAACTTCCCCTTTAACTCCTTTTTTTTTTTTTTTTTTTTTTTTAAATGTCTCCTGGTTTTATTATTATTATTTTTTTTAGTGGCTCATGTATCTATCTAACTTAAGGTGTACTCTTTGCATCAATCCCTTCTAAAATATTCTCTTTCAATCTCAAAAAAATCCAGTACTGAAAGTGTATGCTCTTCATGAAGCCTTTTCATTGACAAACTTACTTGGTTTGCACTCTTTGTATCTCTTCCTTGTAATAGACCCTTTCCACCTTTCAAAAAAGTAAAATTGGCCACAACCCAAAAAAAAAAAAAAAAAAAAAAAAAAAAAAAAAAAAAAAAAATTAGGCAGTCAAGGTAGGCCTCCTTCCACCATAGTGGATGATTTTTTTCTAAGGGGTTGAGGGAAGGTTCGAACCTATTCACCGATAAAAACGTTCTTATCGGACTATACACTATGTCAAATTCTAAAATTAACATCGTAATTTCCTATTAAGTGTAGATTAAGATGTGAATATTAAAAAAAAAATAATAATAATAATAATAAAGGGGGATTGCTAGAAAATTTGATTCATGACTAATCTATCTTGTACTTAATGCTAAGCCCTTTTTTGTCATTTTATGAAACGAACACCTATTTTCTTAATGTTAAAAATTCCAAAAATTAGTATAGGATGGAAATTTCTATGAGAATATGATTGAAATATTATTATTTCTTCCCTTCTAAGATAAGGGAAAACAAAAATTGAGATTTTTTTTCTTTATGCAGGTATTTGAAAAGAAACACGATTACATACACACCACACTCATAAAAGGCATACTCGTAGGCACAATTGCAAATTATTATTAATTTAAAAGCGTGTATTGAATCCCTTAAATCCAGTAGACAAGCCATAAATTCAAATGCAAAAGGAAAGGGCCATAACAAGAAAATGGCACCCCTTTAGCCAAAAAAAAAAAAAAAAAACAAAACGGCACCGACGAAATTAACTAAAAATAGGCTGTAACATGCATGCAACACATGATCTGAAGTTGTCAAAATCCACATTACTTTATAGGCATTTACTATTAGCACGTTCTTCCCTCTAAATATGTATTGTAAAGGGAAACATCTTTGAACTCAATTTTCTGTGAACCACCCATTAAAAGGAATAAAAAAGAAAAATTATGTGAACCATCCCAATTGCTTCAATCATCTTGTCCTCCTCAATAAGTTAAACCATTTTATTTCATTTAATTATTTATTAATTCCATAAATACAAAGTGCTCTAGATGCTCTCCACAATCGTCACTCTCTCTAGTTTAGGAAAACATGGTACACTAAGAAAAGCACATGGGTTTGCACCCTAATAAGGTGAGCTAAAGAATATGTTTCCTTTTTCATATGGTGACAATATATAGCTTAATGTCCAAAAATATTCACCAATACTATATTCTAAAAATTGTGCATTACTTATAGCAAATCCGAATAGTCAAAGACTCAAATTTGGCTCTTAAATAATTGATAGCTCTCCTTCATTAAGTTTTTGTTTATTGCTTTATTCTACTTAAAACATATTTTGGATCTTGATTTCCTATATAGTCAAACAATTAATTCAGATTTGAAATTTTTTCCTTCTATTGTATTCTTGTATATGTTCTAATACGAGTATTTCTTTTCGGATATTAACGTTGATATCACTACATACTAAAGCCTCTCAAACTAAGATTAGTAACTTTAAAGTATATTTTCACCTCTTTTTTTCCTAGTAAAAAGGAGATTATTGGTGTCCTCACGCCCTCATCCAGTGTCTATAGAAGGAATTGATCGATCCCACTAATATAAGAGCATCTCTAATGCAATGCTATAATTAATTATTACAAATTTAACATTT